CGCAAAAATACGTACTTTAAATAGTTGAAATTTTCAATTTTAAACGTAAATATCTCGAAAACTATAAGTTTCCCGAGGCTATATCTATATATATTCTTCATCTGGAGGATCTCCTCTATCCGCCCATACCCGTTTTATCCCCGAAAGCGTGGGACGTTATTCTAAAGCCGACCCACCTTTTTGTTTTAGATATGTTGTCAATTTTATTAGCTAATTCTACTCCAATATTACCAAAAAAGTTATAAACTCATCTGCAATAAACTGGTGATCGAATATGATTTCATCATTACATACTAGATAATCTAGTCCTGGCGTTACTTTAGTTTTTTTACCTATTTTCGCGTTAACGTATTGCCACATTTTTTTACTATCTTTGGATATTTTTTTAACATATTTACTTTCGTAGTTATTTTTGGCAAGTGTTATAACTTTCTTTAGTATTTTACAGTACGCGTTATATTCAGATTTTAATTTTACATTATTTCTATCCAGGTTCCATAGTGCGTATAAAGTTTCTTTTGTTTTACATGATTTTATAATACCTTTAGTTATCCATTTACTTCTCGGTTTGTTATTGTTTTTAGTTTTATTTACTTTGGATCTTGAAACATCAATAATATTCTTTATATTTTCAATCAGAAGCGTAAACAAAAACTTCTGGATCTTTTATATCGAGCATATGAGACCAATCATATAAACCACTATTTACTTTTATAAGATTGTGGTTAATGAAATAGGTTTCTTTAAGCATAGACTTTATAGGGAACAAATCAAGAGCAACAAAAATAGGTAGGTAGATCTGTTAAAACATTAGCATAAGATTTTTGATGATGATTTTCTAAATATTTGATTTAACAAAAATGTTATCGATACAAGTACCCCCTAAATCATTACATCTGGTTACAACATTGAAATATGGTAAATAGCCACGATCTAATAGATTCTTTAAATATTCATTTGTAGCAATATCAGAATTTAATAAATCCCCAACTAGAAAATGATTGTTCCCATGCTTGTTTACGTCTAAAAATTTAGTTATTGCATCTATAAAGTTTTCTTTAGGAATGTCATGACATCTATATAAACCCGATATTTTAACATTTTTATTACCTTTCAATTTTATTATCGTTGAGATAATTTTCACGTTATCAATTACAACGCCATCAACTTTATTATTATTGCAACTATTATAGAAAATGTTTTAATCATTCATTTCAAAAAAAGTATAACAAGTAAGGAGCCAAGTCTCCGTACAGTCAATAATATCTGGTTTTATTACAAGATGTTCAATAAATAACTCAAATTTGTTGAAATTTGTATTTAGACTTCTAACATTTAGGTGAACCATCAAGAAATTATTACTAGATAACGTATTATTTAAATTATATAAATCAGTAAAAATTTCTTCAATCTGCATTTATTCTTTCTCAATCATCGGTTGTTTGTAAAGACCAATTTCCGATTTTACCTAGTAACTTTGATATCGATGGTTTCAACGGATAATCAGTATTGTTTATTATTTTATTTAGGATATTAGAGATATATTCACAACATGTATCCATAGCACAATGATTAGATGGGCGGTTTTTCCGATATTTTTCATTATAGTACACGCAATCGAGACAGTTTATGTAAGTACTTTTACAGGAGTTAGTTAAATGATCACCAGCACACCTAAGACATTTAACCTCATTCTTACAATTTTTATGTTTGTGGTTTGATCTTCCGCATTTATAGCATAATTTAAAAAATCATATACTTGGCAGCATTGATAACCAATGTATAATTTAAATCCGCAATTTTTTAGATGTTGGTATGCCTCAGAGGTTAGCTCCAGTATCAATGACCGGATTCCAGCTTTGTTCTTGTAGTCCGCGATGATATTGAATGCTCCATCAATATCTAGGAAATTTCTATTACATATAATATAACCTCGCATAATTCTTCTTTGTTTAATTCATTTTCCACATTAGTAACTTTTATTTTAGCAAAATTAAGATGCTCCAAGTCAACACAATAACACACAACTCAATTGCCAATGCAACATTATTTTGTGATCGAAAATAGGCACACGTAAATGTGAGATTTTTTCGATCCCCGGATAAAAATTTAAGAATTGACAAATATTCTAAATCGAAAGGAGCTATGTTGCCACTTTTGTCACTGTGTCTTCTGAGTTCCTTGTAGAAGGTGACTTGGGGGGTTGTCACTATTCCCTTTTACAAGGAAGATCAGAAAGTAGTGAATATATGATTTTAAGCTTTTGCCATCGTCGTGAAAAGACACTTGAGGCCATCATATGCTCGGAGAGATGTGATGGGATTTGTTTTTATGAATGAATCAACTTGTGTTCATAAATAAAAATTGAGAATATCAAGCTAATGATAAGTGATAATATTGTGGCGAACACGAATGCCAGAACAAATCAGAATCGACGATAAACTGCTAGAACAAACTAGATCATTATATATATCAGGGATATTGGGGTCCCAACTCTTTCCAGTGTGAGAGCGCTTAAAACTAGGGTGTTTTATAACATTTTCCACTCCAGATCGGATAAAATTATCATTTTCGGGCAGTTAAATTATAATACCCAACATTTATTAATATTAAATATTTGACTATTTGAATCCATTTTTGTGATTATGTGATATATTGATATATATGATATATATATAATATTAAATTAACTGATTTTTGAACTTTCAATAATTAAAAAGTAAAATAACTGTCAATTAGTAAATGTTTTTTATAATTTTCAATTGAAAATTAATACTACTAAGCATGACATCACAAAAGATTTTATCACATACATTTCAATTTTGTGTTTTCTTTAATTTTTATTGTTTTCCAATTTTTAATAGTGATCTTCAACAGCGGCAACAAATCTCGCTGTAGGATTTCAATCTGGCCGTTCCTCTTTTTCCAATTGCTAAACGTCAGACCTCCTGAACTTTTACAGTTGTCTGAGTTCAGGAGGTTTTGACCAGGGATAATCTCTGGTTTTGACGTTTAGCAATTGTGCTCTCATTTCCAGTGAGAGATGAGTTGGGCATCTCTTTATTATTATTATAAATCTAGAAGTAACCAATCCTAAGATTTTCACTAATACACACGCAAAAATGTCCCACTTGTTACGGGTTCCTTCAAATATTCTACCTAAAAGTAATCTAAAGTCACACTTGGTACGGGTTGCCTACTAATATTCTACTACTAAAGTCACACTTTGGTACGGGTTGTCTATTAATACTAAAACACCCAAACGCCTCAAATCTACTACAGTGTGTTGCCGTGTTATGTTTTCAAATGAAATTTAACTTTAAGAATGTTTTAATAACATATTCAAATATTTGTCGATTATTAAAATTCCTAAAGATTAAACTTACATGTAATAAGTATATCGCTGTGAGTGATTTAGAAGAATATTTTTGTAAATATTATATATTATACATTTTGTTGTTGTTGTTATATTAGTTATGAAAATAGATTGATTTAAAACTGTTATATTTTATGGGTGAATATAGGCCTGTTGAAAAACCAAAAACCCAAAAACTATCGGTATCGCGCCTACATTTAATCCTAAGAGGTGGTGAGGAAATATAATAAATATGCAATAAACTTTTGTTTCGAAAATATTTTTGAAAGTTTTCATTCATGTTTGTTATAACACATACCCCTTCACAAAAAAGTTATTAAGCTACTTCCTTTTATTCACACCTCTGAGTCAACAATTTCAGATTTCGGTCAGTTGATCTCAGCTGTGTTACACAAATAGGAAAACAGCTCATTCTTCTGTTACTTGCAGGATTATACCATTAACAAGGATGACATGATGCGAGACTCTCTCATTTTCGCTGATTTTTCTGTTATTCTCTTTCCCTGATTATTAAAATCAGGGAATTTCGAACAGCTGATGTCAAAAAAGGCGGGATGCCAGAAATAAACCCGCTAAAAATAGCTAACAAAAGCAGTGCGAAAAGAACGACACAAATACTTTTGAATAACGTGCAACTAAATTTTATTTGTTAATTTAATTTAAAACGTTCATTATAAAACCATGATATTTTATTATGACTTGTATTGTTTCTTTGTTATAATTTTTTTTATTTATATGCTAATTTTTTATGTTATATGCATTTTTAAAAATTTTATAATATAAATACAAGTATATAGGGATGTATATGCGTTATATAGGCCTACTTGGGGACGGAGCACCTAAAAATAATATCGAAATGCAAAATACCCCCAAGTTTTTTTTATAATACCCAATCCATTTTCGTTCGACAGTGGCATGATTGGCAAATGTTATAAAAAATGTGGGTTTTGACAGCTCTCTCTCGATTCAAAGAGTCTCGCATCATTTCATCCTTGCCATTAACTAGATAGCAAAATTCGTATTGCCCGTATGTTCTAGTAGCGAAGTTTTGTTAACAATCTCCTATATAAGGGTGCCGTGTGGCGAATGTGGCCGTGAAAAGAGCAATTGAGACATAATCAAGTAGTTGTAAACTCGGATAATACAATAATAATAAAGCCTTAAGTTGTTGGAATCAAAAATATAGAGTCCCATTAAATTGATACTTACATTTAACAATCCAGAGATCGAAATCAAGACTGAGTTATAAGTAGGTAGACGATTTATCGAGAAATTCGTTACACTATTATGATTCGAATTCTTAGAGGCGTACATATCTGCAGACATATTTCTATGCTACCTACATATACTATGTATATAAGTTGTAACTATATATGATATACATATATTACTATCGTAATATATTAAGTTTTTTCTAGTATATTTCACATATAGCATATACATATGTGAAAGTATATAAAACATAGAAAATTATTAAAAATTTAGGTCTTATTTTTACACTACTTAGGTCTTATTTTAGACTACAAATATTCGTTTACAATATTATATTTTTTAATTAATATGTATCATGCTATCAAACATATTCATAAAAAGAATTTTACATCTATACATATCATTGCATTAAACGTATAAAAATATATAAACCAAAAGTCCAAAATATTACTGCTATAATATCAATGCTAACTTCTGAACTTCAATGCTGCATGCGAAATATGAAAGAATTTAAACAATCGGCACAACATGATCTTTCTCTGTTATACAGATACGTTCTCTGACCTCACAGTGTGGTTTGCGGTCGTGCTTTCACAAATGTGTACAGTTCATTGCCAACTCTCATTTATACAGCAGCGTGTAGTAAAACTAAAAAGTGAAGATCCTGCAAATATACTTGGACCACTGCGAGGCAGCGTAGGATCTCTTAACGCAAACGGCCTATAAAAACAATATTGACGGATCAATAATTTGTGAACAATATAAAAATAAAGACACTAACATGTGTATCTCACCAATAAGGTCGCAAATAATATAACGTGGAAATAAAACGATATAAGACAAATTTTTCTCAATGAAACTAATGATGTCAAAACTTTTGGTTCATCACGTCACTAAGCTATGACCAAAAAGAAACATACCGCTCGGAGAAAGCTGGCATATTGGTGGAACAGTGAAATCGAAATATTGAGAGCCATTTCCACAAAGCACGACGCCTATGTCAGCAGAGCATAGGAAGAGGGGAATATACGGTACTCCGTGACATTTTCAAGAAAAACAGAGCAAGCTCAAAAAGGCTATAAAACAGAGGAAAAATTACAGCTTCAAAGCTCTATGTGACAAAGTAGACGAGAACCCCTGAGATGAACCATATAAGATCGTAATGTCAAGGATTGCAGTAGGCAAAGTACAAACACCCCTCAATACTCAAAAAGGTAGTGGAAGCGCTGTTTTCTACACACACACTAAGCCACAGATGCGCCAGAGGTCAATGATATGCAAGTACTACAAGCTGTTGAGCGGTTCGGAAATTATAAAGCGCCAGGACTAATTATTATTCCGAACAGGGCTCTGAAACTCGCAGTAAAACTCAACACAAAGCAATTCACGGAGTTATTTACACGATGCTTGCGAGAAGGTGTGTTCCCATATGGAATATTTAACGGCTCGTACTACTGTAAAAGACGACAAAACAGTCAGGAGACCGAGCTCTTATTGACCACTCTGCATGATCGAACAATCAACCGTTGACGCAATCAAGAATCTTACAGAGATAAAAAGCTATTGAAGAAGATAGGTGGATGTACGGCAAAAAGCAATACTGCGCTGTCATTACTTTCGATGTAAAAAACGCGTTTAATTCGACCAGCTGGCCCCATATACTGCAAGCACTAGAGACCAAGAGAACACCATCGTATCTGTTGAAAATCATAAAGAGCTACTTATCTAACAGGCTGCTGCTCTATGACACAGATGACGGACCGTAAAAGTATAAAGTCACGAGTGGGGTGGACAAAACTTCAACTTGCTAAACAAAAAACTGAGGCAGTGGTTATTACAAGCAGGAAAAAATTGGAGACGATTTCTCTTATCAGAGATGGACATAACATCACGACACAAACATCGTTGAAGTACCTGGGTGTAATGATAGACGCGAAACTAAGTTACAAAGTCAATATTGAGAAAGTTTGCGAAAAAGCCGCCTGTGTGAATGCGGCCATCAAAACCGTTAGAGCATTTCGTACAGTACCACATGAAGCTGTTAGCATTATATCAGGAATAATGCCATCAGATATAATGGCTCGTGAACTGAAGGGAATTAACGATAAAAGTAAGAGTGTGGGCAGGAAGTTAACAAGAGGAGATGGACGCACCGGTTGATTGGTAATGTGCAACCGTGGGCGGAAAGAAAACACGGAGAAACTGACTTCTACATGACGCAGCACCTAACGGGGCATGGGTGTTTCCGATAGTACTTGCATAAGTACGGACATGACAAAGGAGTCGCTTACTCCTTTTGTGGTAGCAGTAGCGAAAGTGCAAAGCATATCTTCTTTCACTGCCAAAAACTTTCAAAAGAAAGATAGAACCTGGAGAAGGAAGTGGCAGACCAAATATCTCAAGATAATATAGTGTCTTATATGTTGGAGGCAAGTATGGAGCATTATAGAAAAAACAACAGCTCTGATAATCCAAGAGCTGAGAAGAGCCGAATGACAAAGAAACAGTGGAGCTTGAGCCGCGAATAGCGAATAAATGACGTGAGCCGAAAGGCTAAGCCGACCCTGCGATGAAATGCCTAACGGCGCTTCCGCAGTGTCTTTCACCAAAGCTGCGGGTGACGGAGTTTAATGTTTAGTACGTAGGCGTTCTAAAACGCAAGTCCAACGTGGGACGACAACCCTGACTGGGCGTGGTCCCGAAAGAGGGGTACCCTTTAGCAGACAGTACGAATCATGCATATTGCATACTAATAAATATCAGTATCTATGTAAGATTCCCCTCCAACAAAAAAAAAACTACCACTTACGTCAAATACAAAGAAAAATAAATAAATTAAACAAATATAATACAGCACTGCAACACTTATTTTATGTTTTCATGCAACTATTTTGGTATTGTATGAATAAACGGATTTAAACCAAGGATAAATATAAAATTGAAGCTAGTTTAGCACTAGTTAATACAAAATAAATGTATAGAAAAAAGGGATAAAGGATATAAAAGTTAAAAATATAGATGTAAAATTCCTTATAAATCAAAGAAACACGCGAAGAAAACATCTTTAAATAGTTGAATTTTTCAATTTTAATTGCAAATATCTCAAAACTATAAACGGCAACTAGATGTATATATTTCTTAATCTGGGGAACGTCCTCTCTCCGTACATAGCCATATTGACCGCGAATTCGGAGGATGTTACTCTAAAACTTACCCAACGGATGTAAGCATTATTAATAAATTAATTCGTATTGCATTTCATTTCTTTTGAATTAATTTTAGAATTTATATGCGAATTTGACCTAAAGTTGCCGTTAAAGTTTAGGGATACCTCGGCGGCGTTAAACCAAAACGGTAGAAAGCGCTCCGTTTGATGCTTTTAGTAAATACATCTGATAAAAAATATTGCCTATCCAAACCTTTTGCCTACCAACCAAACTACCCAGGGCAAATGAAACTACCAATATTAGTTCGATCGGTACAAAATGGCAACGTTAGTTGTACGGCTAAATATTTTATCGTTTGTGAAAAATAACATTAATTGATTAGATTAGTCATTGGTGTATTGTGGCATATACTTTTATTTTAAATATGGTTTAAAATACGACAAAAATGAATTGTCACCAAATTTTAAGTGGAGCATGTAATGCTGGCGACAGATGCTTCGCTACAGGATCTGTAGAAGGTGTCTCATTTACAGTAAGCTGTGCATAAGTTAATTTTTCTTTAAGGAATGTAGCGCTTGTAATCACATGATTAGAAATATATATATTTTGGGTGTGCGGGTTATTGAATGTTTTCATTATGTAATGGAAATATAAATTGCTACAAGATATAAGATTTAAACTTCCCGAGTTTTTTCATTGTCAAGGCTAATAATAAGTAGCCATAAGTTTCGTACTATGGCGATTAGATTAAAAAAAATACATTCTTTGTTGTAATAAAGTACTCGTATAATTATGCGCATCTCAGAATATGGAAATGTTTTGTCTCCAAAAGATAATAAATAGACCTTACAACAGAAGATTTACAATCAGTTTCAGGACGCCTCAAAAAAATTTTTTTATTTTAAATTGAATGAATATAATTATTGAAATCACTTTCCGCTCACGGATCTGTAATCTTCGCGGAAAAATAAACCGATTTAAAAAAAATTTAATTTCTGAGGCCTCCTTAGTTGGGGGACCTAAACTATACATTTACCAAAATAAGTTTTTCTGAGAGCTAATGTTTTAAAATAATTTGTTATTAAAATTAACAATGTTCCAACATCATACATGCTAATAATTTCTGTATAACTAAAATCTCATTTAAGTTGAGAGAAACTGTAGCATAGCGTATCCCGATTTCGGGGGATAAAATGGCTATGGACGGATAGAGGATGTTCTTCAGATCAATAATATAGGTATGGGTCGGCTTTAGTTTAGCATCCAACGATTTCAGGGTTAAGAGGGGCTTATAGTTTTCGAGATATTTGCATTTTAAGTTGAAAATTTCCCAATTTTTATTTTACAATTTCTCGATGGTTAACTTTTCTTTTATATTATGCACTTATTATACACTAACACTTCACGTTAATGTTTTTACATATTTATTTTATATTAAATATTTAAGTATTTGCTTTGGTTCCATGTTGACAGGTAACAAGTGTTGCCATATCATATATATATATATATATATATATATAATAATATTTTGAAAGCGAATTAAAATGAACAATAAAAGAGGATTAGGGTGGGCTTTAGTTTAGCATCCCACGATTTCACGGTTAAGAGGGGTATGGTTGGATAGAAGAGATTCTCCAGATCACGAATATATATATTTTATATTATGCACTTATTATACACTAACTTTTCACTTCAACGTTTCTACATATTTATTTTATATTAAATATTTAAGTATTTGCTTTAAATAAGCATTTAATTTTTACACAATTTTCGTAATATGAACAATAACAAATGAGTTCCATGTTGTCAGATAATAAGTGTTGCCATATCTATTATATATATATACCTATATATATAAATATATATTTTGAAAGCGAATTAAAATGAACAATAAAAGAGGATTATACCTTAAATACATGAACTATAGTTTTGTTCATTCCCTTCTATTGATAAATTATGGTATTGGATTGGCCAGGGTTATTTATTTAAAGGGCGGCCGAAGGCCGCCAGTGCGGAAAGAAGTTTGACGCGATTAAATTATGAACACCCCGGTGTTGGACCGACCAGGGTTATTTTTTTGAAGCGCGGCCGAAGGCCGCCAGTGCAGAAAGGAGTTTGACGCGATTGAATTATCAACACCTCGGTGTTCGACCGACCAGGGCTATTTTTTTGAAGCGCGGCCGAAGGCCGCCAGTGCAGGAAGAAGTTTGACGCGATTGAATTATGAACACCCAGGTGTTGGACCGGCCAAGGTTATTTTTTTAAAAAAAGCAATGTTAAAGGAATATATCACTCTCTATAAACTTCAATTTTTACTGAGGATAATTATAATAAGAGTGAAGATTTTAAAAATTTGATATATGAATACATATGGCGTAAAAATATCGCACATCAACATCATGATCCATTTGTGAGTTTATCAGATGCCATAAAACATACGTTTAAGCTATAAAACCATTTTCTTTTATTAAAATGTAAAATTTAGTTCATAATATTTTGTAGAGGGTGATTGGGTTTTTTATTTATTTTGATTGCTTTCATTCGTTTGGATATGGCAACACTTATTATCCGACAACATGGAACCCATTTGTTATTGTTCATATAACGAAAATTGTGTAAAAATGCATGCTTATTTAAAGCAAATATTTAAATATTTAATATAAAATAAATATGTACAAACATTGTAGTGAAGTGTTAGTGTGTAATAAGTGCATAATATAAAAGAAAAGATAACCATAAATCGAGAAATTGTGAAATAAAATTTGTGAAATTTTTGGAACTTAAGATGCAAATATCTCGAAAACTATAAGTTTCCGGCGTGGGATGCTAAACTTAAGTTTTCCCAATTTTTCTCTTTATTATGCACTTATTATTCACTAACACTTAACTACATTGTTTCTACATATTTATTTAACATTAATTATTTTAATATTTTCGTTATATGCACAATAACAAATGGGTTCAATGTTGATAGATAATAAGTGTTGCTATATCCAAACGAATGAAAGCAATCGAAATATATAAAATACCCAACTACCCTCCACAAAATTAACTTATATGCACAATATTTACCAATTCAATGACAAAACGAAAAAAAAACAAGTAAGGAAGAGCTAAGTTCGGATGTAACCGAACATTTTATACTCTCGCAAAATCAATTGGTATACTCGTTTGAGATTTCTTTGTGGATTGACTGATATTTTCGGTAGACGGTTAACTATAGGCACTGGGGTCCACATATTCAGTACCTAGGGGCGTGAATAGCTTAAGTTCGATTTAGACAGTTTTTGGTAACAAGGTGGCATACTTTAAACGCATTATTCACGCAAAGTTTTACGCCGATACAATCATTGTTGCTTGATTTGCATAGTGGAAAGTGAAAGAATCAGATGGAATTGAAAATGGTGTTATAGGCGTGGTTGTAGTCCGATTCCGCCCATTTTCGCACTATAACATAGAAATATAAAACGTTATGTACCGAATTTGGTTGAAATTGGTTAAGCAGATCTCAAGATATGGATTTTCACCTAAAAGTGGGCTGTGCCACGCCCACTGTCTAGGTTTGAACGAGGTTCCTATAAAGTCATCTCATAACATCAAAAAAATTTAACTGCAGATGCCCCTCCCTAATGTGATTCTGTGTACCAAATAACAGTCTTGTATCTTATTGCGGATCTTAGTTATGGCAATTTATTTGTTTTTGATTAATGGCGTTTTGTGGGCGTGGCAGTGGTCTGATTAATCATCTGCAATACCAACCGTCTCACGGTACCAAGAAACATGTCTACCAAGTTTCATAAAGATATCTCAATTTTTACTCAAGTTAGAGCTTGCACGGACGGACGGACGGACGGACAGACAGACAGACAGTCACCCATATTTCAACCCGTCTCTTCATCCTGATCATTTAAATGTATATAACCCTATATCTAACTCGATTAGTTTTAGGTGATGCAAACAACCGTTAGGTGATGAAAACAACCGTTAGGTGAACAAAGCTATTATACTCTGTAGCAACAGGTTGCGAGAGTATAATGACGGTACCTTGTTTAGTTGTAAAAATAGCCGTTATAATCCGTTATAGAATAGGAAGTTTAAATAGAGTGATATACCCTCTTTAACATTACTTTTTTTTGGTAGGGTTTTCTATTTGCATTGGCGCCTCTCGGCCGCGCTTTAAAAAAATAACCGTGGCCAATATGACACCGGGGTTTTCGTGTCGGACTTCTTTCTGCATTGGCGGCCTTCGGCCGCGCTTAAAACAAATAACCCTGGCCTATCCAACACTGGGGTGGTCGTTATTCCTTTCGCGTTCTTCTTCTTTCTGCATTGCCGGCCTTCGGCCACGCTTCAAAAAAATAACACTGGCCGATCCAACACCGGGGTGGTCGTTATCCCTTTCGCGTCCTATTACTTCCTGATAAATATGTCACTAGCCAATCCAATACCATGGTTTATCAAGAGAAAAGAACGAACAAAATTATGGTTAATATATCTCTCTATTATATATAAAAGTTTTCTGCTGCTGTCGAGAATCAACTAACATAAGAGCGAGCTAGCTCGCGCTCGGCGGGGGGCGGACGTAGGCGAGCGAGCGAAGCCAGCGTCCCGGAGCGCAGCGGAGGGCGCCTAGTATATATATATATTTATATTTTGCAAACGAATTAAAATGAATAAAGAGGATTATACCTCACATACATTAACCATAATTTTGTTCGTTCTTTTCTCTTGATAAACCATGGTATTGGATTTGCTAGTGTATTTCGACGATCTAACCCTGTTTGGATCGGTAAGTTTTAGATTAAGNACGGACGTCATCGTTGGCGAGCGTCAATTCCGCAAGGTGATCGCTGCGGCTACAGCTCGCTTCATACCGGCTGGAAGAATAGCGGAACTCCGCCCTAATTTCCCAGCCGAAGCAGCTGTATTAGCAAATGAGCGCGACACCTTACGCCATGCCGATCCCTGTGATCCCCGAATAAGGGATCTCAATTTGGAGATTCGGCAAATGATAAACCATCATAGGCGGCCAAAATGGATAGAGCACCTGAAGTCCTGCAACCTCTCCACCGGTGTGAGTAAGCTTTGGACTACTGTCAAGGCCCTTTTAAATCCGAGGAAACATGACGATCGGGTTGAAATTCAATTCGATGGCCATGCCTCCTCGGACCCGAAGAAGTGCGCGAGCTACTTTAGCCGGCAGTTTATACTGCACCCTTCGACCGACAAGGACAAACGATGTGTTACCCGACGGCTGAGCAAAATGCCAAAAGACTGCGCACCACTTACTTTCACCGACGGGGAGGTTCAGAGTGTCATCAAAAAGGCGAAATCGTCTAAATCCATCGGCCCTGACGGAATAAGCATGCTGATGCTAAAACACCTAGGCCCAATGGGAGTAAACTATCTCACCAAGGTCCTCAACTTGTCGATATCCACTCTTCAAATAGCCGATGTGTGGAAAGTCGGAAGAGTGGTCCCACTACTGAAACCTGGGAAGCCCGCCAACAAAGGGGAGTCTTATCGCCCGATAACTCTCCTTTCCCCAGTAGTGAAGACACTTGAGGCCTTATTACTCCCGTCATTCACTCACCACCTGAGCCTAGCAGATCATCAGCATGGCTTCCGAAAAGTGTACAGTACCACC